GAGGCTTTGTGTTGATTACAGACAGTTGAATAAAGTGATGATTAAGAACAAGTATCCGCTTTCGAGGATTGATGAGTTGATGGATCAATTGGTGGGTGCAAGTGTGTTTTCTAAGATTGATTTGAGGTCAGGATATCGCCATATTAGAGTGAAAGAAGATGATATTCAGAAGACCGCGTTCAGAACTTGGTATGGACACTACGAGTATTCGGTGATGCCTTTCGGTGTAACCAATGCGTCGGGAGTATTCATGGAGTACATGAATTGTATCTTTCATACTTATTTAGATCGATTTGTGGTGGTATTCATTGATGACATTCTGATTTACTCTAAGTCAGAAGAGGAACATGAAGAGCACCTAAGAGTTGTATTGCAAGTTTTGAAAGAGAAGAAGTTGTATGCGAAGCTGTCCAAGTGTGAATTTTGGTTGCATGAAGCTAGTTTCCTTGGTCATGTCATTTCTAGTAGTGGCATCGATGTGGATCCTTCTAAAGTTGATGATGTGTTGCAATGGGAAGCTCCGAAGTTGGTTATTGAGATTAGAAGTTTCTTGGGATTAGCCGGTTACTATATACGGTTTATCGAAGGTTTTTCTAAGTTGGCACTACCGTTGACCAAGTTGACTTGTAAGGGTAAAGCCTTTGTGTGGGATAGTCGATGTGAAGAAAGTTTTATCGAGTTGAAGAAGAGGTTGATGTCGGCTCCAGTTTTGACCTTACCTAATCCGGGGAACCTTTTATTGTGTATTGTGATGCTTGTCTGATGGGGTTAGGTGGTGTACTCGTGCAGAATGGTAAGGTGGTTGCTTATGCGTCGAGACAATTGAGGACTCATGAAAAGAATTATCCTACGCATGATTTAGAATTGGCTGCGGCTGTCTTTGTGTTGAAAATCTGGAGGCATTATCTTTATGGTTCTAGATTCGAAGTGTTTAGTGACCATAGGAGTTTGAAGTATCTTTTTGATCAGAAAGAGTTGAATATGAGGCAACGAAGGTGGTTAGAATTGCTGAAGGATTATGATTTCGGTTTGAATTATCATCCAGGAAAAACTAATGTTGTGGCCGATGCTTTTAACCAAAAGACTTTGCACATATAAAAAATGATGGTTAAAGAGTTAGAGTTGATTGAGCAATTCCGAGATTTGAGTCTAGTTTGTGAAGTGACACCGCATAGTGTTATGTTGGGAATGTTAAAGATTAATAATGACTTTCTCAACAGTATCAGTAAGACTCAAAGGCTGGATGTGAAGTTGGTGGATAAGATGATGGGAATTGATCGATCTAAGAATGACGATTTCAAGATAGATGCGCAAGGTATGTTGAGATTCCGAAATCGTATTTGCATTCCTGATGTTGAAGAGATTAAGAAAGTAATTCTTGAGGAAAGTCACAGAAGCAGTTTGAGTATTCATCCAGGAGCTACTAAAATGTATCAAGATTTGAAAGGTCTGTTTTGGTGGCATGGTATGAAGCGAGATGTGGCACAGTTTGTGTATGCTTGTCTGACTTGTCAGAAGTCGAAGGTTGGGCATCAGAAGCCTGCAGGGCTGATGCAACCGTTAGAGATTCCATAATGGAAATGGGATAGCATTTCGATGGACTTTGTAACAGGATTACCTAGTACCTTGAGAGGACACGATTCGATATGGGTGATTATTGATAGGCTTACGAAGTCGGAACACTTTATACCTATTAACATCACATATCCGATTTCGAAGTTGGCAGAGATTTACACCAGAACAATTATGAAGTTGCATGGTGTTCCTTTGTGTATTGTGTCAGATAGAGATCTGAGATTTACTTTTGATTTCAGGAAAAGTTTGCAAGAGGCGTTGGGATCTAAGTTGAGGTTGAGCTCGGCGTATCATCCTCAGATGGATGGTCAGACCGAGAGGACTATCTAGTCATTGGAGGATCTGTTGAGAGCATGTGTTCTTGAACAGGGAGGTTTGTGGGATACTTATCTTCCGTTGATTAAGTTCACTTATAATAACAGTTACCATTCTAGTATTGGGATGGCACCTTTTCAAGCGTTGTATGGTCGGAGGTGTAGGACTCCATTGTGTTGGAATGAATCTGGTGAAAGTGTGGTACTTGGACCTGAGATTGTTCGAGAGACTACTGAGGAAGTGAAGCTTATTCGAGAGAAGATGAAGGTTTCTCAAAGTAGACAGAAAAGTTACCATGCCAAGAGAAGGAAAAATTTAGAATTCCAAGCTGGTGATCATGTGTTTTTAAGAGTCACACATGTGACTGGTGTTGGGCAAGCTCTGAAGTCTAAGAAGTTCACTCCTCGTTTTATTGGTACGTATCAGATATCGGATCGAGTTGGGAAGGTTGCTTACTGAGTGGCGTTACCTCCGAACCTTGCTAATTCGCACGATGTGTTTCATGTGTCGCAACTTCAGAAGTATATTCCCGATCCGTCTCATGTGATTCAGATGGACGATGTGCAAGTACGAGATAATCTCACGGTGGAGACGATGCATGTGCGAGTTGCGGGTCGCGAGATGAAGATCCTAAGAGGGAAGGAGATTGCATTTGTGAAAGTTGTCTGGTTAGGAGCTGCTGGAGAGAGTATGACCTGGGAGTTGGAGAGAAAGATGCGAGACTTCTATCCCGAGTTATTTGAACCAGGTAGACTTTTATTTTCGAGGACGAAAATATTCTAAGCGGGGGAGAGTTGTAACACCCCGATATTTAATTATTTATTTAATTAAATATTATTTTGAATATTTTATTTTTAATTTGAATTTTTATCGTTGAAGTCGGGATTATTTTATTAAGTTGGAATAATAATTTAATCAGGTTTATATTGGTATAAATAAGTTAAAGTGTCATTTTATTAATAAGCCTATAATTGATGTTGGGCTTAAGTGTGGTGTCGCGAAGTAATAAGGAGGGTGTATTGGTTAGGCCCATTTAAGTTACTAAGAATTGAATAATAGTATTTTATTAGAAAATAGAAGAAAAGAGAGAAAGTGGTGTTATCAGGAAAAACAAAATAAGAAGAGAAAAGAGAATAGGGTTTTGTGAGAAGAGAAGAGGAACGAGAAAGTTGCTGCTAGGGCCAATCTCAGAAATTTCGTTGAAGCTTCCTTGAGTGCTTTCAAATCAACCAGGTAAGGGTGGGTTTCTTATCCTATAATGGGGTGTATGATATTTTGCATGTGGGGATTTGTATGTGAAATTGTTACTGTTTTATTGACTTGTGTTGGCTTGTGTTGTTGTGATAATAATTAATTTGATTATAGAATTATCAAAGAATAGGTGTGTTGTTGTATTATAACTTGTCTCTGGAATGAAATTGGTATCGCAAGATAGTATAGCAGGAAAATTCCATGAAACAATATTGAAGATGAGAGGAAGAAATAGGTGGAAGTGTCATTCGACACTGGTTGTATGTGGGGGGCTTCCGTTCGGCAGCCTTTAGATGAAAGAGGGAAGTGCCGATCGGCACTAGGCAAGGGTGGGAGAAAAAGTGCCACTTTGGCATTGTGAGGCAGGGGCACTTGCTTCTCTGTTTTCTCTGTTTCGTTTTTCTATGGCACTATGCTGCATAAAATTTAAACGATATCAGTAATAGCTAATAGTAGTATATATGAATGTCACTGTTTTCAGTAGCGGTAAATTAAATTAGTTGCTAGAAGCTAGTTTTATGGGGAAGAATGGCACATCCATAAGTTGTATAATAAATTAGTAATTTAGGGAGAACAATTAACAGTGGACTATATATATTTTAAATGGCTGAATTAGTATTTTATTAGTGATGAAAATAATTTAGCAGTGGGATTAATTGATTAAGTTGGCAAGTAATTGGAAACGAATCGATTAATTCGGTATGTTGGTATATTGATGTATTTTGCGAATTAACTGAAATATCGTTTTGTTTCGATATATCCGTGGTGAATAAATGTTATGATTTACCCTTGATTAATTGGTAATGACTGTGATATAGGCCTTTGGCCAATGTTGAAGGTGTGAATCATTATTATGTCGACCTTTATTATGTTGTTGTCGTTGTTGCATTGCCAAGTTGTGGTTGTTTATATCATCGCATAGCATTAAAGTTGGCCTGGATTGGCATGTTCTAAGTTGGAGCGAATGCTCACCATGTTGGCCTTTATTGGCAAGATTTATGTTGAGGGCTTATGCCTTATGCCTCGGTAAACTGGCACTTTCTAAGTTGGGAGTTCTGCTCCAATGGTACCACATGCATTTGTATAATTGAGTCGCATTTGAAGTCATTGATTTTGTTGCTTATTTTAAGTGTTGTTTGCGCACGGTAATGTTATAAGTTGAATTTAGGTGTTGGTGAATGGTATTGTTTTATGTTGTTTTGGTATGAAGTGGTGATTTTACATAAACTGATTTCGATATATTATTTATCATATGTTCTATTATAGTATTCGATATCTCACCCCTTCTGTTTGAATGTTACCCTTTGTTGGTAACGTGCAGGTAACCAAGAGGAGTAGCCGTTAGCGTTGTTAGTTCGAGTTTGGTGTCATTTGCTCTGATACGTAGCACTCGGGGGGAAATGAATGCTTGTTTTATTTTGTTGTTTATTTATCGAACTTTATGTTGTTATTTGAGGAATTATCGTATTGATGTGGTTTTATGATTCAAAAGATGTTATGTCTCATATGGAGAATTATTATGAATCTGCTGCGTGATTAATCAAAGTTGGTTTATGTTATGAAGACTTTATTCATGAGTTGTGTTCATTCCTTTTTCTTTAAGTGTTACGTATCTATTCTAAAAGCATGACAGGTTTATGTGTCTCTGTTGAATGTGTAGCATCCTGGTTATTTTAGAAATTTTTATACTCTGATTTTCCGTAAATTGCTTGGGGTAGAATTGGGGTGTTATAGGTTGTCCATACCCTCAAATTTGGTCGTCTTGGTGGTGGGTGGGGTTCCACGGTTGGTCTATAGCACTGGTCGTTTGAGTAAGGGGGGTAGAAAGGAAATGAATCTTGAGGTGTTTGGTATTGTGAATGTTGGGTGATATAGTGATGTGGTGGTTGATGGTAAGTTGGGTCGGTTGGGTCATATTCTTAGGAAAATCTCAGATCAGGGCTAAGGTTAGATGCTTAGGGGCCCACATTGGGATATGGATAAGACTGGAATTGTGTGTGTGTGGGACATGTGGGTGTATTGATATTGGGATTGAGATTTTGGTTGGGTGTGAGGCATATGGGGGTATTGGTATTGAGGTGGTGATTGTGGTTGGGTGTGTGGCATATGGGTGTATTCGTATTGTGGTGGTGATTGTGGTTGGGTTGTTGTATATCTGTATCGTCAGGGTGGTTGCTAGGAGGTTGATGTGTGTTAGGTTTGTTGTTAGGGAAATGAGGGTTTTGCCTATTGTGTTCGTGGGTAAACCAAATACCTTGGATGAGACACGTGCATTTCTGGGTTACTAACTAATTTGTACCAATCTAAATATTGATATGTGTGTCGCATATTACCCTGGTTGAGAAAAACAGGGAATTGCAAGACATATTGGTGACGCCTATGCCACATCTTACACTATTTCTGGGACAAACAAGTGTAAGATGTGGCATAGGCGTACCAATCTCTTGATGCATTCCAAACTGCATCTTGACACGGTCGATGTGGTGCATCTCCACAATGTTGAACCGTATGATTGCAGTCTTTGCGGTCCAAATTGCTACATCCTCGGAGTTTGGTTGATGGTCCAAACCTAAATATGATCTCCAGATAAACTGTGGATAAAATTAAATCAACATAATGAAAACGTAATAAATAAATAATTTAAAAGTAGAAAAGTTCAAAGGTACGATGTACATCATCCGAGCCTAGGTGATCCAATAGATTGTGATATAGAGCGACATTGAATCTTGGATTCTTTCCGTAATCCATACTCGTGGCTCCTCAACCAGATCTCTGTTTGATCTCCGATAGACATGCATCTATTGAGAATGCATACAATAATCTTGCAAATGGTTGGCATGACCCTCCTTTTACGCATGTCTACTACATTAGACATATCGTACAAAATTTCACGAGGAAGATCAAAGACAAGGCTCTTAGGAAAACAGTTATGAACGCGGGGTACACATTAACATAATCTACGTTCAAACATTATCGCAATGAGATCAGATTGTCAAATCCAGACGCAGGTAGGTGGATCGATAATATTCCGGTGGAGAAATGGACAAGGTTATACGACAATGGACAATGATGGGGCCACATGACAACAAATCTTATTGAATCATAAACGGTGTATTCAAAGGCATACGAAACCTCCCAGTAACTGCTTTGGTTAAATCAACATATTTTAGGATGGCTTCGTTGTTTGCCAAAAGAGGTGAAATATGGAATGCTGTCTTGCAACCGGGACAACTATGGAGTGAAAGATGCATGAAGTATATTAAGGCAGAAAGTGCCAAAGCCAACACCCATCTAGTTATAAGGTTCGACCGACACAACCACAACTTCATTGTCAAAGAGACAATCGACCACAACAAGGGACTTTAAAGATAAGAGTATAGGGTGATACTACCATCTCGTTGGTGTGATTGTGACAAGTTTCAAGCCTTTCGTATGCCTTGCTCTCATGTCATTGCGGCTTGTGTATATACTCATCAAGATGCATTATAACTTCTATCTCCCATTTACAAGTCTGAAACCTTGCTCAACGTATACAATAACAACTTCCCATTGGTAGCAAAACCTGATTATTGGCCTGCATACGATGGCGAAATAGTACGGCACAACGATCAAATGCGAAGGAATAAAAAACATCGTCCCAAAAGCAAACGCATCACAACGGAAATGGACTCCCTTGACAAGCTAGAAAAAAAGTGTTGTTTATGTCGTCAAGTCGGACACAATTGAAAAAATTGTCCCACTCGGGCTACTAGTTCAACAACATAAAAATTGTATGCAAACCATCTTTACTTTTTTAAGTTCTAAACATTACGGTTTTTCATTAAGAGCATTTGTTACAACAAACCTTACGCAAACAACAAATAAAAACACGATAAAACGTCTAAGAAATTACAACCGTCAAAATAATTTCATCTGACCCATACATCATCAACATTACGTCTCCGTCTGTTTTGACTTCCTCCAACCAAAAATTAGGTCTTCCAGTTGCAAGTGAGGTGGTTGTTCTTCTTCGCTGGATCCTTCAAATTTATTCCCCATCCTCGATGTCTCCCTCTAGCCATCACATTAACTCTCTCTTCAGACGCTTCATAGAGCGAATGTGCCAAAATTTCATTTTCATCGGAGGTTTGGTGGCCGAGAAAATAACGTATTCATCTCCGGTGAAAATCATGGAAGATGTCATGACGCAAATAACAGAAGAAAAAAAAAAAGACAATACGAGAAAGTGTGAAGAATGACAAAAAATCAGGTCATTTATTTAAAGAAATATGCATTGCCCTAGGCGCCAAGTGAGATGACGCCTCCTCTCACATTTAAAGTGCATGTGTCATCTCACTTGGCTAAAAGTGAGAGCATGCGCCAAGTGAGATGGCGTCTAGGGTATAATAGTAAGTGCATGCGTCAATTGATTTAACTTCTCTTTTGTGAAGTTTTCTGAAACATAATTATTTATATAATTTTCTCAAAAACATGATTATTTATATATATTTTTTTAAAACCTGATTATTGCAAAAAAAAAAATCATTTTATTGACCCGAAAGCAAAGAAAGGAAAATCTACAGTTTAATTTTCTATTTTGAAGAAGATTTAATTGCATCTTGAACGTTGGTTAAGACTTAGACATCATGGGACCCAAAGATCAACATTTAAACAATTTGAATAAAAATAAATTGAACGGGGATTTGTTAGAATCAAACTTTAATTCCTGTGGGCCCACTTTTCATGGAAAAGCTAATCTAGCATTTGCTTTATCTAAAATCTCAAAATAAATGTTATTTTTCAAAAATTTATTTCATTTTTCGATTCAATTTTAATTTGTATCCTATAATTATTTTTTAATTAATACCCACAATAACTTATTATTATTTCAATTTATATAAATAATAATTATAATATATTAATAATTAATTATGATAATTTGATAAATCTACTGTTCTCTCTTTTATTTATTTATTTATTTTAATTTGTATGAAAGTATAATTTATGACACTTATATTTAAATAGATAAAGTTAAATGATGATATTAATTTGCGCCAAAAAGTTTTTAAATTAAATATTTTTTTGACGCGTTAATGACAACCTTCTGATTAATAATCTTTACATTGTTTGTCATTTAAATTGTGACAAATATATTTTTAAATTTTAATAAATTTCAATTTTAAAAAGGGAAACCTCACCCCATCTTTTATTTCATCCAAAATAACAAGACTAGTAATAGTCAAGGACAGATTCGTATTTTATGAAAAGTATAAGGAGGTAGTTGTCAACTTCATAGATAAAAAATTACCAACAACATAAAGACAAAGTAGCAGTGAGAGAAAGTTGTTGCTTCTTCTTTTATAAGGTTTTTTCGTACACTACCTTTTTCTTTTTTTAAAGCTAAAAGCGACAATTTATTTTTCTTTTGTCAAATTTTAAAAATTATTTTAATAAAGATTATCAAATTAGAAACAAATAAAGATTAAGGGCTGCTTCTTAGAAAGCGTGTAAACATAGACTTTCATACATATATTTTATATTTTATGTTTAATTTATAATTAAATTGAAATTTTTTTAATTTAATTATTCATTTGAAGTTAACTTCAATTTATTACTTAGAATCTTTGAATAGTTTGAGACAGCTGAATATTGAACATGAAAATACACATACGGCATCATATATAAATATATTTTGATCCATCCGAATAAAACAATAAGTTTCTAAAGATCAAACACAAAAATGAATAAATAAAAATAAAGCAAGATTAAGATTATTGGAAAATACAGAGCTTCTATAAGCTAACACACAAATAACGATAAATAAAAAAAAAAATAAAACAGAAAGGAGAGATAGATAGATAGAATTCTTGCCTGAGAAAATGTTGAATTGCTTTGAGTTTCTTTTTCTTGAAGAAAACGTTTGCTTGTTGTGGATATTTTTGGCTCTTTCTCTCTCCTTAATAAGTGCCTTCCACTTTACTTGAGGAAAATTCTAAGGGGAGAGAAGCCACTCATATATAGATAGTCCAATTATTTAAAAAAGGTAATTCTAATAATTTATATTGAAAAGTTTTGTAGGGGCAATTCCGATGAGAGAATATTTTACTTGAGATATACCTTTGTGAGAGACATACCACTTGTCCATCTAAAAGCTTAAGTTTATAGATGAGTGAATTCTCTCATATATAAATGTTCAATCTTCCTTTTTATAATCAATGTGAGACTTCTTCCTCACACTTGGTTCTAACGACTTTTTAGTAAATGATAAAAATAAAAATTGTAAAAAATTTAAAATGACAGATATTGATTTTAAAAAACAAAATATATTCATATAATACTGAATTCGTTCTTTATTTAATTTTAAAATAATTATTCTCATTTAAATCTTAAAATTATAGAAATAGGTTTTACAATTCCCATTTTTGTTCTGATACTTGTCTACCTTCACTCTTAAGAATTGAACCATAAAAATGCTTTTTAAAATATCCTTTTTGTTTCCTCTCTAACTCCCCACCAAACAAACTTTTTTATTATGGCAAATTTGTTTCATTAAGAAAAAAAACAGCTGGATTACAACTAGTAATGTCAGAGTTTAAAATATGGCCCGTCGAGGTTCTAGAGCTTAAGGACTTACTAATACCAATTAAATTGTGAATATTATTATTCAGATTCCTACTAATAAACATGACAGAAACATTACAAAAATCAGAAATAAGAGATCTACAATCACTGGCTAATGGTTTCAAATCAACATTGAACACAATTCTGTTGATATTATCCACCACCACAAGCGCATCCAATTGCACAACAAAACTCTCTAGGCCTATATCTTTCGCAACCTGTAGTGACCAACGAATAACCAACATCTCCGCAGAAGCAGCATTCGTCACACTCTCGAATCTCTTAGTAGCAGCCAAGAAAATATTCGAAGCACTCAACATTCGTTTGGACAGTCCACCCCAGCTGATAATCCACCTTTGGTGCGAATCTGCTTTCCGCAAACCTGAATAAAGGCAGCCCCCAGTTTCCTCCATAACTGAATTCAAGATTTCAGTTGCAACCGCGCTTGGGTCTGCTTTAACATCCTTGAAAACAACACAATTCCTCAACTGCCAGATTTTCCAGAAACTAATTGATATAACTTGCCCCAATTTAGTGTCTTTCCTGGAGAAAATACTGCAAAACCAGTCCTTAATACCACCGAAGTGGGAATACGAATTTCCAACGGGATCGAGAAAAAAACCTTTCTGATAAAATCGCAGCGAAGAAAGAGATGCAGATTATTTTCCAATTCAGAATTGCACAACGGGCATAAACCATCATTCAGCGTACCTTTCCTGAGGAGATTAGTTTTTGTAGGCAAAATATCTTTAAAGAGTCTCCACATAAAATTCTTAACTCTTGGGTTCACCTTTAATTTCCAAAGATGATTCCAGATTTTCGGCTTTCCCTTGGAGGAGGGCCCTAGATTGAAATTGCGCCTTTGTTCCCCCAACCAATAATATGCCGTCTTAACCGAATAATTGTTGTCTGTTTCGTGGTGCCAAATTAATTTATCTTCGGGAAGGTTCAAAGAAAGGGGGATGCTGCATATATGGTTAGCATCAATAACAACAAAGTTTTCTCTAAGAGTGTCCATTTTCCAACAAGCCAAATCGAAATCAATGAGGGAACTGTTGGAAATTCACCAATACTCTATGATGAATTTCGACCACCACTGATGATTAGTTATGAAACAAACTAAGAAAAGACAATAGAATTATTTCTGCAGAGTTTCTCTCTGCCCACAAACTGTGGATACTTTTATTATTCACTTTGCAACTGCAAAATACTGTGAATGAGTTAATTACAAAATAAGGGTTACTCCCTCTATTTATAGATTTATGTTAGCTTGCTCCCTAAACTAAACCCAAGCCCAAAATATCTCTTTACTAAATCAAATCTAATCTAGATTTAAATTCAAATCTATTTAAATCTAAACAAATCAAATCTTCTTTTGACACATATGAATTACAATTTAACACACCACCTAATTCATTGTGTCTAAACTGTCTATGTTCATCATGACCCTTAGCTTTCTGAATACTTCGACCTGCACTCCCTTCGTCATGATGTCTGCAATCTGATTTTCAGTTCTGTAGTGTTCTAAATTCATCTTCCCATCTGCTACCTACTCTCGAAGATAATGGAACCTCATTTCGATGTGCTTACTTCGACCATGTGCTATTGGATTCTTTGCCAGATTGATAGCTGACATGCTGTCTATCTTCATGGTAATTGCTCCATGATTTTTCCCTGTTATCTCTTCGACCAAGTTCACCATCCAGGTTGCTTGACATGCACAAAGAGAAGCAACTATGTATTCTGCTTCGCATGATGATAATGCCACTACTGGTTCTTTTCTCGAACTCCAAGCAATTGTTGAACCACCTAGCATAAACACATATCCTGCTGTTGACTTTCGATCTTCAGCATCACTACACCAACTCGAATCAGTGTATCCCACTAACTTGCATTCTTTTCCTTTATCAACTGCAGGAAATAAAATGCCATAATCGAAAGTTCCTTTAAGATACCTTAGTATCCTCTTCACAGCTGCTAGATGTGATACCTTTGGTTTCTGCATGAATCTACTTACCATACCTACACTGTATGCTAAGTCAGGCCTTGTATGACAAAGATATCTCAATGATCCAATAAGTCTTCTGTATTGGGTTGGATCAACATCATCTTCATCTGCATCTTTCGACAGTTGCAGTCTTGGTTCTGCAGGTGTCGAAGTTGCGTTGCATTCTTCCATCTCAAACCTCTTGAGAATTTCTCCTGCATATCTTCTTTGATGCATCATCAAACCTCTACTGCTCTTGTAGAATTCGATACCAAGGAAATATGAAATCTCACCCAAATCATACATTTCGAATTCCTTGCTAAGATCAACTTTGAAGTCTTTGATCTCATTCTTGCAGCTACCTGTTATCAACAAATCATCTACATAAAGATATAGTATAAGCAATTTACTCTTGCTTCTTCTTACATATACTCCATGTTCAGTTATGCACTTCACAAATTCCTTCTCCCTTAGAAAACTATCAATTTTATTATTCCAAGCCCTTGGAGCTTGTTTCAACCCATACAGGGCTTTATGTAGCCTGTACACCTTTCTTTCTTCGTCATGTTTCACAAACCCAACTGGTTGTTTAACATAGACTTCTTCATCTAAGGGTCCATTTAGGAATGCACACTTCACGTCCATCTGACATATGTGCCAACTGTTAATTTCTGCTAGACCAACAACCAACCTGATTGTTTCGATCCTAGCAACAAGTGCAAAAACTTCGTCGAAGTCTATTCCTTCTTTCTGTAGAAATCCTTTCGCCACAAGTCTTGCTTTGTGTCGAGTTACTTCACCTTTCGAATTCGTCTTCACTTTGTATACCCACTTGACATCAATTGCCTTCTTGCCTTGAGGCAATTCGATAAGTGACCAAGTGTTGTTGTCTTCGATAGACTTTACTTCTTCATTCATTGCTTTCACCCACTTCGAATCCTTTAATGCTTCAGCTGCATTAACAGGTTCGACATCTGTATAGAAAGCATAATGTACCAGCTCACCTTCATCATCTATCACATCATCTGATGTAATCACACAATCTTGCAATCTTGCAGGCATGCGTCTTGTTCTTTGAGGTCTGCTTGTACTGGGTATATCTGCTGGCTCCTCTTGTCGAACTTCTCTTTCGACTTGAGTTTCTGGCTCTTTGAATAAGATTCCCACTGAATCTTTCTTGACATTTGTAGTCCAATCCCATTCTTTGAACTCATCTATGATCACATCTCTGCTGATCACAATCTTCTTGTTCTCTGGATCGAACAACTTGTAGCCTCCTGTCAAATGATATCCAACTAGGATCATTTGACTTGACTTGTCATCAAGTTTCTTTCTCAACTGATCTGGCACATGTCTATGTGCAATAGATCCAAATACTTTTAGATGACTTAAGCTAGGCTTCACACCAAACCAACATTCTTCTGGAGTAATTCCTTCTAGCTTCTTTGTAGGACTTCTGTTCAAAATGTATGTTGCAGACGAAACAGCTTCACCCCAGAATTCTTTGGGTAAATTCTTGCCTTTCAACATACTTCTCACCATATTCATGATGGTTCGATTTTTCCTTTCTGCAATTCCATTTTGCTGTGGAGTATAGGGTGGCACCACCTCATGCACAATCCCTTCCTTTTCACATAATCTGTCGAATTCTTTCGACACATATTCTCCTCCACCATCAGTTCTCAAAACTTTGAGTTTTCGACCACTTTGTCTTTCGACCATGGACTTGAACTTGGTGAATACTTCGATCACTTCACTTTTCTTCTTGATCAGGTAAGTCCATAGCTTTCGACTGAAATCATCTATGAATGTAACAAAGTATCTGTTACCTCCCATCGAATCCACCTGGATTGGTCCACATACATCAGAGTATATGATTTCGAGACTAGCCTTCGATCTGCTTCCTGCATCCTTGCTGAAGCTATTCTTGTGTTGCTTCGCCTGTACACATTCTTCACATACTTCGTTTGGAATATTAATTTCAGGCAATCCTGAAACCATATTTCTTCTCTTCAAATCTCTGATGTCTCTGAAGTTGAGATGACCTAGTCTATAATGCCATATCCATTCATCTCTGCTAGCTGCATTCGAAAGGCACTTGTGCTCCATCATATTTAGTTCAATCTTGAAGGTTCGATTCTGAGACATAGGAGCCTTCAAGATTACTTTCCCATTTGCATCAACGACTCTCATCAACTTGTCTTCGATTGATACTTTATAATTCTTTTCGACCAACTGCCCTATACTGAGCAAATTGCTCTTCATGCCTGGTATGTACAATACATTCGAAATTACTGACTTCTTGCCATCTTTCCTCATGATCATAACATCACCAATACCTTCAGCTGCTAGTGTGTTGTCATTTGCAAATTTTACCATATTCTTCGTTGAGGGTTTTATATTGACGAACCAGTCTTTCCTTCCAGACATATGTGATGAACATCCTAAATCCAAGTACCATTGGTCCTTGAATCTGTCTTCATCTCTTGTTGTGACCATCAGCATCATCTCTTCTTCTTCTTCATGTTTTGCAAGCCTTGCATCAGTTTCTTGATTCTTTCATTTTTCTGGACAATCACTCGAATAGTGACCATACTTCTGACAATTGTAACATTGAATGTGACTTTTATCAGGTTTTCGACCACCACATCTTCCTCTGTTTGCAGCACCACCTCTTTGGTTGCCTTGGTGTGGTCTTCTTTGATTCGACATGTCTCCTTCGATTTGGTTTCCTCTACCATTTGATTTGTTGTAGCCACCTCTACTTCTGTCGAAATACTTTCCTTTGCCTTTGGTCTCTTTTGCTGCATGTGCCTGCAAGGCCACATCACTCTTCGATTTTCCTGCGGCTCTTTCGTTCATTCTTTGTTCATGAGATTCAAGCGTCCCTTGAAGCTCTTCCTTTGTCAATTTCGACAAGTCTTTCCCCTCTTCGATCGCCACCACTATGTGGTCGAACTTAGGAGCTAAGGATCTCAGGATCTTCGAAACAACAGCTCTTGTTGTTAATGTTTCTCCACATGTCTTGATTTGATTCACTAGTTTTGTAACTCTAGTGAAGAAATCAGATATGTTTTCACTGTCTTCCATCTGAAGCAGTTCATAGGTCCTTTTGTGAGTTTGTAACCTCACTTCTTTCACCTTCTCAGCGCCTCCAAAATATTTCTCCAGGATCTCCCAAGCTTCTTTTGCAGATTCTGAATCACTAATCTTTTCGAAGTTGTCTGGGCTGACACGTTGATGAATTATAAACAATGCTTTATAACTCTGTTTCTCAGATTCTGTGTATTTCTTTTTTTCTTCTTCTGAAGCGTTTTCGCCAAGCGCTTCGACTCCATCTTTTACAAGGTCCCAAAGGCCTTGACACCTTAATAGGACTTTCATCTGCTTGCACCAATTCTCATAGTTGTCAACTTTCAGAATTGGCAGCGTTGCTGGATAGTTTGCATTCCCATAACTTGTCATCGTGAATTCTTCAATCGTTCTTGATTGATACTTCACTTGAATCGTAACACAAGCTCTTGATACCAGATGTTGGAAATCCACCAATACTCTATGATGAATTTCGACCACCACTGATGATTAGTTATGAAACAAACTAAGAAAAGACAATAGAATTATTTCTGCAGAGTTTCTCTCTGCCCACAAACTGTGGATACTTTTATTATTCACTTTGCAACTGCAAAATACTATGAATGAGTTAATTACAAAATAAGGGTTACTCCCTCTATTTATAGATTTAGGTTAGCTTGCTCCCTAAGCTAAACCCAAGCCCAAAATATCTCTTTACTAAATCAAATCTAATCTAGATTTAAATTCAAATCTATTTAAATCTAAACAAATCAAATCTTCTTTTGACACATATGAATTACAATTTAACAGGAACTAACCTTTTCTCCATTTCCAATACACCATCTAGAGTCATTCAAAACAACATCTTTAGAACTCAAAATGCTACGCCAAGCAAAACTAGGATTGTAACCGCACTGAGCATCAATAATGGAACACCGAGGGTAGTATCACCCTTTGAA